TCGAAGTGGATTGGTCTCTCTAAGCGAGATCCCAATTCGTCAGTCACCGACGTGACGTCTCCATTCCCTCCTTCAGGGAACGAGGGTTACATACGTAACCGAGACGTTCTTCTTTCTCCAGGAGAAACGTTGTTCTGGTTGCATCTCGTCATACTGGCGTGTCGTGAAGTTCAGGAACAAAAGCTGCCATGCTGTGTTAAATCCCTGTGTCTCTGCGCCACTCCTGGGCGTCCCTGAGTGGGTGTCAGTCTGGCAGGCATCCACACGTCCCGCTCAACCTCTGCTCTTGGGTTTAAGATGGCAGAGAGGATTATGAAGCAGCACAGCAATTTAATTAAGTCGCCCTTATCTTTGGGAAGGACTGAATTCACACATCAGCAGAACAGGTCATCCTGAGAGATGATGGACACAGAAAAGGGGGGAACTTATTTAGAAACACTGTTTAATTCTGCTTTGGGGAGAGATCTGGCCTTTGACAGATACTGAATGGCTCATCATGCTTGTTCAGTGTTTGTTTGATGGACTTTCGAACACTGATCTTAGACACTGCAAAAGAGGCCCGGAGATCTTTAGATGTTTCAAGATATTCTGACCTCCTGGTCTTATGATGTGTTTCCACCACTGTTTTCAATGGGAGCACCACATATTTAAAAAATTACAGCAGTGTGACAGCTGAGTGTTTTCAAAAGACACTCACTATTAACTAACTATTAACTAGGACTTTTGTCTCTATAAACTCATTTGTAAACTAATATGCTGCTTATTAATATTTAGTTAGGTAGTTGTTAAGTTTAGATATGGAATCTAAAATATTGCTCATGCAGAATAAGGCATTAAAATGTGCTTTATAAGTACTAATAAACAGCTAGTGTGCTAGTAATGTGCATGCTAATAAGCAACTAGATAATAGTGAAAACTGGTCCCTAAACTAAAGTGTTACTATTATTTAATAGTATTGAATTATTATAAGCAAACTCTGTACTAATTATTTTTCAGTGTAGGACATCATAGAAATGTTGTGTGCTGTCCTCGAAGGTTACAAGATAAATCTTTATGTGATTCTGTATTTTTGCTATAGGAAGCAGTTTTGTGGTGAGCATGGGCAGTTTTCTGGATGTCTCCAACTGGTTAAATCCAGCCAAACTGACCCTGTACTACCAGACCAACACCTCCACCCAGTGGGTGAGAGACTACTGCGGCCAGAGAACGACTGATCCCTGCGAACAGCTCTGTGACCAGGACACTGGTGAGGGAACACACACACACACACACACATACACACACACACATATTTGTACGGCTATCTTTGTGGGGACTTGCCATAGACTTCCATTGTTTTTTTACAGACCAAACAGTATTTTCTATCCATTACCCTAAACCTACCCCTGCATTTTTTAATTTTCAGATAAACATAATTTAGTCTCCACAGTGTCAAAAGTTTCAGGTTTTACTATCCTTTATATCATGAAATGACCCCACAATGGAGGATAAACCTGTACACACACAGACACACATACACATACATACATACACCCATACACACACACATACAGTACCGAGGCCTGATTCCCACACTTATGGGGAAACACATTTATTTGCTTGTGACCTTCTGTGGTAATCTGTGACTCAAGGTCTCAGTCAGGTTGAGTCGGTTTGCAGGGCGTCAGTGTGATAAGCATGCCGATGCCTGGGGATCGTGGGAATAACACGAGCCCACTGTGATGTCTCCGGCCCGGGGTTTATGAGCATCACGCTTGACATTTACAGTTATTGTCTAGAATCTGTCTTTGTAGCTGCTCTTTTGCAATATGGTCAGGACCCAGTAACACATGGTGCTCTTTAGACTAATGTACGGGGTTAAATACAGACATTTGATTATGACATAATGAAGGATGAATAAACAACATACTTTATAAGAGTTATTCTTAAAGGGATAGTTCACCCAAAAATTCTAATGAAACCAAACAGTTGACGGTAGCATTGACTTCTGTAGTATGGGGGGTGGGGGGGTGGAATAAATAAAAAATACAGTGGAAGTCAATGGCTACTGTCAACTGTTTGGTTTAACCATAATTGCAAAGTGTAAATGTATGTTGAATGCAACTAATTGATCTTTAGAGTGTTTTTTTTTGTTTACCCACTTAAGTAGGACTTAAGTACATATCTATTGTAAATTAATAATTACTTCTGTTGTTTGAAATATGATTAAAGTGTACTGCTGAATGTACTGACAACCATTTATGATAAACTAAAATATACTTTAATAATTAATAATAATACATAATATTACTAAATTGAATATTTAAATATATTTGCATTTACATTTAATCATTTAGAAGGCACTTTTATCCAAAACAATAGAAGCAATCAGACCAACACGAGAGCAACAGTATACAAGTGACAAGTCTCAGTCAATCTAGCACAGTACACATAGCAAGGTTTTTTTTTTATTTTTTTTTTATAAATTTGAACAAATACAATAGGTAAGTGCTATTAATTGGTCAGGTGCTGATGAAAAATATGTATCTTTAGATTTTTTTTTATTTTTATTTTTTTTATGGCTGCTCGAATTGAGGCAGGCAAGTCGTTCCCACCAGCTGGGAACATAATAATAATTAACAGCTTTGTAATAATTAAGTTTCAATTCAATATATTTAAAATATATTAACTTTAAATATAATAATCCAATAGCACACTACAGTTAAAATTATAATAAAGTACTTTACACGTGCTTTAGTATGCTAGTCAACACATCAAAATAAGTGTACCTCTTTAAAACACGCAAAAGTTTATTAAAACAAAATGATTTAAAATATACTTTAAAATAAAACATTTAATTTGATATTATTTAATATTATGCGTTAAGAAGCATGAACAGTATACAAGTGACAAGTCTCAGTCAATCTAGCACAGTACACATAGCAAGGTTTTTTTTTTATTTTTTTTTTATAAATTTGAACAAATACAATAGGTAAGTGCTATTAATTGGTCAGGTGCTGATGAAAAATATGTATCTTTAGATTTTTATTTATTTTATTTTTTTTTATGGCTGCTCGAATTGAGGCAGGCAAGTCGTTCCCACCAGCTGGGAACATAATAATAATTAACAGCTTTGTAATAATTAAGTTTCAATTCAATATATTTAAAATATATTAACTTTAAATATAATAATCCAATAGCACACTACAGTTAAAATTATAATAAAGTACTTTACACGTGCTTTAGTATGCTAGTCAACACATCAAAATAAGTGTACCTCTTTAAAACACGCAAAAGTTTATTAAAACAAAATGATTTAAAATATACTTTAAAATAAAACATTTAATTTGATATTATTTAATATTATGCGTTAAGAAGCATGAAAGTGTTTAAGTGCACTGACATGACCTTTTATTTAATTAATATTATCTGCAAATAATGTTTTTAAAAATTTACTTTTAAAATTTGAAATTTGAAAAGTGCACTTTCAATACAACTAATTGCACTTATTTTCCACAAGGGAAATGACAGTGACAGAGTTCACTTTTTAGGAGTGTTAAGAATGATTCTATGTGAAATTTTTGAATGTTACCAGTTATATGTTCATAACAGAATTGTAGTTGAAAATGCCATGTTTTAAGTGTGTATGCATGCTGCTCTTCCATTGTGAGTTTATTTCCTGTAAATATGTTTCCCATTTGTTTATATACACTGAAATTCAATTACTGTCTGTGGTAATACGCAGCATGCAGCAGATGATGTCTGTGCTGTTCAACCCACAGTACTCCTTTCATTGTTTGGCCTCAGCCATTATAAATGTCTTCAAATGTAGTTCTACTTAATCATGTAGGTCTGTGTTTATTTTTAAACGCAGTGAATAATAGAGCTCCTCCATGAAATCTCCAAACTCGAAGCCGCTGTTGTGTGACCTGACATTTAGATGCATTATCTACCGCTTCGTATTCTCTTTTAACTGCCCTTAAAGGAGGACACAAAAAAAGAATGGTTCTATAGGAGTATGAACCTGTATTGGATTATATCCCTTTTGCTTTTAGCACATAACGTCACATGAGATCACTAATGCACAGTCAATGGTGATGCATAAAGCCGCCTCAATAAACACCGCAGATTAGATTCATAAATGTGAAGGTGAATCTGGAAACCAAGAGGAACGGCAGTCTGAAAAAGTGCTGCATAAGCTAAGTGACGGTGTGTGTGGGGTAATGAGAAAGACAGAACGAAAAAATGAATAATGTTATTACCAAGGTGAAATACAGTTAAACTGTGTTATCGTAAGACACAGATAGCCACAAACAACGGACAAATGTTTATTTGTATTTATTGCATCACACTTTAGTTTGGGGACCAGTTCTGTGTGTGTGTGTGTGTGTGTGTGTGTGTGTCCGTCCGTCCGTCCGTCCATCCATCCATTTTATATAATCACATTTATTTCATGTTACTTTTACTTTCTTTTATTTATTTATTTATCTGTACTGTACTTTTCTTTCTTAATCTCTTGTACAGTTCATGGAAAGATGAAAAATGTTTAATTCATTAAACATACTTAATAAAAATACAGAAAATGTGTCTTTAATATCTGTAAAATAAATACATTAGCCAATTTTGTTTAAATTAACTGTTGCATAAATGAGTGCACCCTTGATTCAATTGAATAAAGCTGTAATATTCTAGTAATTAATATGTCCTAACAGAGAATGAGGAGAGGGAGGCATCTTCTGTTTCAGGTTCTTGCATTATATCACACATTATATGGAATCTAACTTAAGCACAGACTTAGAATATGGCATACAACATTTGCGAATAAAGCACTGTGTCCATCCCATGTGTTCAAGAAAGAAAAAAACAAAAAAAAGTTGTCACTTCCTGGGAAACTGGTGCAAAATATCAATAATAAAAAATGAAAGTTGCTGTAACCAGGGAAGCCTGTGGCTGTTTTTTCCTATAATAAATGACTTGTGCCTCAGAGCGACACAGAGGGAATGCAGTAATCTTGCATTTGGTTGCCTGATGTTTGGGAAGTGATCGTGTGTGACAGTTCTGGGAGGTGATTATACAAAATCATTTTGATGATGGACTTCTGTTGAGAACTTTGCCATCTGTTGAGGCAAAGTCACATGTTTTTTTTGTTTTTTTTGATGCAAACTGAGGAATTTATTTATTTATTTAATTTATTTTGTAAGTGTGCTTCCATCATATTATTTGCATGTCCTAGTATTGGATTAAAAAAAAAAGTGCGTAAAGTTTTTAATGTGCATTTTTAGAATATATGTGTATCTTGCCGTTTCCATTCAGCATTTTTTTATGCAATATCCCAAAAGCTACTTAAAACTAGGTGGATTTAAACATAACTATTGATACAGTACAAATCCTCCACACCTTCAGCACTCATACATCCCTACTAAACTTCACTGTGGGAACCAGGCACTTCTCACTGTGCTCCTCCTCTAACAACACCATAGCATTTTAGATGTTTTTAGATCGAAAATAATTAAGTATGGATTCCCAGAAGTCTATATTTTGTAAATATGGACTTTGATAAAGGTTAAATGAGTTGATTGTGTTTTGGCTACGGTAGGTGTTTCAGCTGTGGACAACAACCATGCATTTCACTTCTCTACATTGCATCTTACTCTGTGAGATGAATCTGTCACTCTTTTCATAGCTTTTGTTGACTCTGAGACACTTATTTGGCTTTTTGTTTTCTCCAAAAAAAAAAAAAAACTCAGAAAATGAAAGCTTAAAATGAAGGCCTGATTATTTCAAGTCTGTTGTTTTTTGAATTTCTGTGTTACTTTTGTTTTATTTTCACACTTAAAACCATGTTTTTTTTTGTTTTTTTTTCTTGGACCACTGTCCTCTTTAGATGAGTCCCTGCCAAGTGGTCTCATTGTTATCAGCATTAAGTCTGAGAATGATTCAGTAGGCTATGTAACACTTTTAATGGTCAAGAAATTACACCACTTTAACTCGTTTGGTTCAACAAGCTTGTCTGTTGATTTAAATTGCCTCAAATTTGTTTAATTTTGTTTTATTTAGTAACGTTCAGGAGGGTGTACTCGTTTATGCAACACAACATTTTTATAATAAAAAATGTACATGCTTCTTTGGTAATTGATAAACCAGACTTGATGGAACATTATATCTCTAAAGAACCATAATATGTATTCTAAGTAAAGAGTAATTGCTGGATTTGTTAAGTTTCAGATGGAGTAAACTCATTTATGTTGATAAATAGAAAGTTCAAAA